ATAGAATAAATTAATTTTACAAGGATAACACGTAATTAAAGATGAAGTGGTCAGAAAAATAAAATAATTTGGACAATTATAATTTTTATACTTTTTAAAGGTTTAGGGGGAGGGGGGTGACGTAGTCCTGTTTATGCATTCTTGTAACGATGGCCACGGTAAGGAAAGTGGCTTACAAATTTCTTCTAACACATAGGCTTGGCTTCTTCAGGTGGATTCCTATTGCTTCAGCTGTATGTAGAAGACGAACTCGTAGAGCAAAATTAAGATTAGTCGGAATGCGATAAATAATTTTAAATGCAGTATTCAATTACTAGGTCACTAGTATTCTAGCCGGTCCCAAGCCCGGATAAAGAGGAGGGTTGGGGCGTGGTGCTAGCATCCACCCAAACTTAACCAAACTGCTACTAAAACTTCAACGCACAAATATATTACTAAATGCAGTATTCACATCAACCTTATGCTCAGTATCAACAAGGTGTGCTAAAATAGAACTACGAATAGATCTTGTTTGTCCCTTGCTTAACCATGTTGGATGATGTTCGGAAATACGATGATGAACCTGCCTAATTGTACGCCCAATGTAGCTGGCTCCTCAGCTGCAGTCAAACTGGTAGATACACATAGAGGAAGCAAATTTAGGTAGTTTATCCTTATTTCTCGAACGTAGAATAGGGTGCCTCAATGAGGAGCTTAAGATTATTAGAGAATTACTTAGAAAAGCGGTTATCCAGATAAATTTATTGAGAAAAATATGAATTCAGCACCTAGGAGGGTCAGTATGGAAACGGTTCCGAAAAACTAATGTTCATAAAACTGCAGTTCCTGACAATATCAGCGAAATAATAACACAGCGCCTGAAGAATGCAGTTAAAAGAGCTTATTATGCAGCAGAGCTACGTTGTCTCTTCACAACCACCCCTATTCTATGTTCGAGAAATAAGGATAAACTACCTAAATTTGCTTCCTCTATGTGTATCTACCAGTTTGACTGCAGCTGAGGAGCCAGCTACATTGGGCGTACAATTAGGCAGGTTCATCATCGTATTTCCGAACATCATCCAACATGGTTAAGCAAGGGACAAACAAGATCTATTCGTAGTTCTATTTTAGCACACCTTGTTGATACTGAGCATAAGGTTGATGTGAATACTGCATTTATTAATATATTTGTGCGTTGAAGTTTAGTAGCAGTGTTAAGTTTGGGTGAGTGCTAGACGCCAACCTCCTTATTGACCGGCTAGAATACTAGTGACCTAGTAATCTAGGCGAATACTGCATTAAATTATTTATCGCATTCCTACTAATCTTAATTTTGCTCTACGAGTTCGTCTTCTACATACAGCTGAAGCAATAGGAATCCACCTGAGGAAGCCAAGCCTATGTGTTCCTTACCTTGGCCATCGTTACATGAATGCATAAACCGGACTACGTCGCCCCCCTCCCCCTAAACATTTAGAAATTATGAAAACTATAATTGTCCAAATTATTTTATTTTTCTAATCATTTCATCTTTAATTACGTGTTATCCTTGTAAAATTAATTTATTCTAACCATTTCTACCTTGTAAATGTGTATTGATTTTCTTCGTTAATTATCAACCCATTTTGACACTGACTAATTATTGTTAACAAACATGTCGCCACTTGTTTGGTAAACTGTTGTGTATTGTAATAAAAATGCTATATGTATTAGAGTAGAGTCAGAGATGAGGATCTAATTGAAAAGTAAATATTTCTTCGCTCAATCTTTCTGTTTTCTAAATGTCTAAATGGGGATTTTTTTTCTATATTGAAATTTGATGTACACACACATACAAAACAGCCATATATATTTGCGATTGTACAGCTATGAAAATGAATTCCCCGCCGAAAATATACTCTTCGCTGAACTACTGGTCTTTTGTCTACTAAATTGTTGTCTCCATCTCTGCAGTGTGGCGTCAAAGGTGTGATCGCGTGGAGATTGTTGCAGAATTAAATTATAACATGGGTCAAATTCAGATGGATCCAATTTTCAAGTAGGAGACACTCTATCCAGAAATCATCTTGGCCAGAGAAATCTACTTTGAAACTGAACCAAATATCAAACTTAACAGTGGTATCAAGATAATAGCAGAAATCAGTAATGTTATTAGCTATTCCATCCAAAGAAACAGGTATTATAACCGGAGTAGACTGGGATGATTCGACACTAAAAATTCTTGAGTGAGTAAGCAACTCAGCAATTTTCACTTGTTCTTTAATTGTATCCACCTTCGATGAGTCAGAATACCTGCATCGACTTTGATTAATGGCTTGGTAATAAGTCACACAAAATTGTATGGCCACAGTGATTGATCTCGGATAAAGACAGAACGCACAATAAGGGGGGGGAGAATACATATCCCACAAGCAAATCAACTTATATATGAGGATGAAGATAACAGTCATAATGGCAAAAAACAGTCGACCTGATTTAAAAATGATAAAATAAGTTGACGCACTAAATATCCACTATCCCGCATCACTTCCAGAACAGAAGAATACTTACTAGCGTCTAACACGTCACATTCCTTCACCTGAAGACAGTATTTGATTCCGTTGACCGACAGGCACTGTCTGTTCGTAAGGAGACTGGCAAGAAAGTATAAACCATGAATCAGTCAATGAGGTTGAGCAGTTGCATCGAGTTAGGAGACGTGCCACGTACGCCGACCAATCGCCTTTCTTGTCGAGCAATACTACCTGATAGAAGATTGTTAGATGTCGTCAAATCCAAATACATCCTCAAGGCTTAACTGATGCTTTCAGCCACTTACGGAGGTGTAGACTGTGTGACTGAGGTTTTCGAAATGCCTATATACAATGGCTGGAAACTGTTGGTCATACAGCTCGAGTGCATTCACTACTTATGGCCTCAGACCCATCGAATTCTCATCATTCTACACATACTTACTCGTCCTCAAGGAAATCTCAATTCATCTGTATCCAGAAAAGACATGCTTGAAAATGTGGTAAAAATGGGGCTGTCAAGCTACTCCTTAACAGGTACCACGCCTACACTATAGGAAAGTGTGATATAAAGATTGATTCGTTCTAGGAACCAGCAACAGAGAGAAGCTCAATGCAAATGGAACGTCATGCAGTGCAGAACAGCATATGCATATCAACAACTTACAAAACGATTAGAACACAGACCAACAGAATGTATAGGACGGTTGTGTTGTTCATAATGTTAGACATTTTTGCTCTGAAGTACGATGAGTGTTTCAGAGCTGGCTAATATCGCCTCATTAAAAGGAGTGTAGGCATGAAATAAAAAACTGCAAATGCTGAAGTTATGTAAGGTAGTATAGAAAACCTAGTCGACCAGTTAAATACTACTTGGGAGGATATACATGACTGAGAATGCTTCATCATTCTGGAATGAGCCTATATCACTGTGAATAGACACAATGTACTTGACGATCACTGAGGCATCAGGGTCCCTAGTGGTAACAAATTTATTGTATGCTGAAGTGATTCCGGAAACTCGCGAGAATATAGTTGACGACTTCAGGCTTTCCCGTTATCCATCATTTCTTTACCATATACCTGTTACTCGAGAATTACTGAATTTATTGAAGGTCAACAATCGTATTACCCCTTCTTGGGATAATCCTAACGAGTTGCATGTGTACTGCCCAGTAAAATTCTTTGACAATGAGTGTGCTGGCAACATACAAACTACCTAAGTAGTACTCACTAAGCACTCCACGCCTTATACTACCAAAGAACTATGACTCTAGTATTTCATTTCTAGACGTCCTCATGACCAGAAAAGAGGATGCCACAATAAGAAGTGTATAAAGAAAACCTACATCAATTAGTCAGTATACTCATTTTTTCAGCTTCCTACCCTAGAAATACAAACGCAGAGCAAGAGCAATCTGCTCGGATTAATGTCTTGATGAGGAACTTAATAATATTAAACGGTTGCTGAGTGAAAATGGTTATCCAGATAGGTATATTGATAAGAATATGAATCTAATATCAAAGCAGCCCAAGATACCAACAGTTCCTAAAAAGGCCTTATTCTTACAAATGCAGTTCTTTGGGGACAACATCAGCGAGATACTAACACAGAACCTTAGAAATGCGGTAAAAAGAGTATTCCCTGCTGCTGAATTACGCTGTTCTTCAAAACCACCCACCCGTATTTTGCGTTCGGGAGTGAAAGTTAAACTGCCTCATTTCGCCTCTTCCATGTGTATCGACCAATTTAACTGCTCCTGTGGAGTGAGTCATTTACATAGACTGTACAATTAGGCATCTTTCTCGTCGAATTTTCGAACATCACCCTGTGTGGTTAAGTAAAAGATAAACAATCTATTCGTAGTGCTATTCTATCTCATCTTGTGGATACAGAACACAAGATTGATGTTAACCAGGCTTTCAGGGTTATTTACCGCATACCAACAAATCTCAATTTCGCCTTAAGAGTTCGACTACTAAATATTGCTGAGGCTTTTGGGAGCCATATAAGAAGCCTAATTTATGCGTCCAGAAGAAGCTAGTTCAGACATTGTCCTTACCTTGGCCATCTAGGTTCGAATGATCCCCAACGTTTTGTAGAAATTTCCTAATTTTAGTTGATATTCTATTTGCTACTATATCTTTATTATTATTTAAGCATTTTTAATGAACTGTAGTTCCATTGTGATCTTACTTTACAAATCGATATTATTTAAAAAACACTAATATTGTTATTGACTACTAATCTAGAATATTCTGTGTATAAACACATATATATATATATATATATATATATGTAATTGTAGAGCCAGAAGAGGAATTTATCGAAAAGGATATTCTTTTCTCAATTATTTCGTGTTTTATGACGCAATCAGCAAAACCTTATGCGTGTACTCATTATTAACAGTGGATCGTCACAAGAATCTGAACAATTCGCATGTTAAGTATGCTATAGCGGTTAAGTCCTGCTAATATGTAGTTACCTAACTCCATCGATTTCGAAAGTCAGTGAATTTATGAAAGTATTTTTTTTATACAAGTAGTTACATGTTTATTCACAAAACCAACATTTTGATAAAGAAATAGAAAATGAACGAAAAACAGTTTCATGATCTGGGGGCAGCAGCTGCAGCAGTCGCCAGTGGATTTCGAAGCACCAGAATAACAGAATCACCACGCAGAAACAATTTACTGATGAATCTTTCCTTGTTCACTGGTTTAGACTTTTTCAGACCTTTACCCGGTCGAGGCACTTCAGTCCACATCTCTTTAACATTTTCCAACACCATATTGCAATGTCGGTCAAATGCTTTCACTCGCGCTAAAAGCTTCTTATTATTTCTGCAGTTGATCAACACCTATACGAAAGAATAATAATTGAAATCAACTGTTTTTTTTCACATTCCATAATGCGAAATAAAAGATCTTTTACTACAGTAGACATATATACATATACTATGCAAAAATGGGAAAATTAGACGTCTAGGTAAGTGAAATTCACGGAACCACTGTTACGATGGTTTATACACCTGTGTCTGCACCTAACAAGTATTCACTCACAAAAATGAAAACATTTTGGTGAACATTCACAACTGTGTTAAAAACGCTAATCCAAGTGATGAAAGTATGTCAGACGATATCGGCCATTATCAGTACCAATCAGCGTACCAACACACTTCCGCAGTGATTAAGGCACTACTTTAAAATTTCAGAGTTTCAAAGGCAAACAGTCTTGTCCTGTTGACTGAAGCACCTACCACTCGAGATCTACTGAAAACCTAGAGCGGAAGTTCACACACACACACTTGGGACTTACTTTTTTCATCTACTGTAAAATTATACAAAACTTATCCTCACCAATTTCTATCAGATTACTACATTTTCTCAAAAAGCGATGTATCTGATCACTGGTGAAATCTCAGTGAAGACAGGAAAATGGTTTCCGACACATCTGAGAATTCTCGCTATTGACATATGACAAGTTTTCCACCACAAGATGCTATGCACATTATACTACTTATGTCCTATGGTTAAGATATGGGGAGAAAACCTAGAATAAAATAGGAAAATATAAGAAATTACTAAACGCTTTAGAGAGAGAAACTTCTCTTACCGACAATTCGATTTCCCTACTATACAGTCATATTTATAGGCAGATTAAAATAGACAATGAATTTTGTCAGAACGAATGCAATCAGTTAAGGGTGCAATTCTCAGTGAAGAAATTCGTAGAGAATGGATTTCCACTACAGTTTCTGAAGGCCAATAAGGCACACGAAAGGAACTCAGAATCGAGGATATAAAAGCAAGGGTTTCACTTAAATATAGAATCAAGGCATAATATTGTAAGTGATGTCCTAAAAACCATTGAATGAGGTAATCAAAAGAAATAACAGAACGAGTGAATTAATTAAACCGTCTACTGTCGCATTATAATGCTAAGGAAGTGTTATTTTGACTACCTAGTTCCATGTGCATTTAAAAGTTCACCTGCTTCTGTGCAGCTAGGTACAAACAACTTTTATCAGATATAACCCATCGCGTTCAGCAGCACCCCTCAGCTTGATTAAGCAGTTATTAGTTCATCAATACTATATGTATCAAATAATGAGCACAGCCTTCTATGCCTTCTTTAACAGCGTCAACAAAGTCCAACGGAAATTGCCGATGTCCTGAACACACATAACAAAGCTCAGGATTTATGTGTTAGGTTAATTTGTGAAGAATGCAAATTCTTAGAGACATCAAAGTAAACCACGTTTACATCCACAATCAAATTAAATAAAAGTGGTGAACTGAACACCCCTGATAAACACGAGGTGCTGTTACTTTAAGCTACAACTCCACTAACACTTATTACGCTGAAAGAGTTCTGATTGTTTCTTAGCTGGAATAAAATATTGCATTAGCAATGCCTTCAACTAGATAATGCCTATCGATCAAACTATTCAAATGCGGATCCTTCTGTCAAGAAATATGAATTGTTGGATAGGGGCCAGTAACCACTCAAAACTGGGCCTAAGGCCTGTTTTTATTGAGTGTTTTCGTTAAATGCCACGGTGTTTTTGTATGACATTGGTACCTAGGACCACCCATTATGCTTGGTTAACTAACTGCGATATTGTTATTGTCAATATGGGGAAAGTTGCTCCCATATCAAATGACATAACCAACGACGTGTAGCAACCTGATGGAAACACCTCGGATCCACAAAAACCAGCTATTCTTCTAGGTAACTTAGACAATAACTCATTTTCAGCAAACTTCATTACTTCTGCAATGTAACCGTCAGATGTTGTGTGGTCTTAGGTTGAAGACTGGTTTGCGACCTAAACAAGTCGAGTTCGAATTAACAGCAACTGTGTTGCGGTTAATAATTCTCTTTCTCAGGGTCCCTGGGACCCCTCATCAGTGGTTTTAATGCTGCTTTAAAATCATTTCATTTCAATCAGTCAAAGAAGGTAAAAGTAACCCTAAAAATGAGACAAAATAGGAGAGGTTATTGGATTAAAAGAAATTGTCTTGAGCTCCCTCTTTTACCGTATCCCCTGTTCCTGTCCTAACAAATCATTAGTTTGTTTTATAACTAAATTCCTACTTCGCTCTTTATTCCTGCTGTTTCGTCCGAACTATCTACCTATTTACCCTTAGTTTCTTGGTAGTCACTGTTTTTACTGGTCATTTACGCAGACTAAAGTGACCAACCAGTGAATATCACTTCAACTGGCACACGACGTCTACTTGATTACTCAACAACATATAGAGACTGCATTGCACACCATAGCAAATCAGTCAACTGTATAACGCTTCATGATTACTAGTCAATACGTACCCGAAGGTGTGCATTCGTCATTTGACTAATTCTAACAACCATGCAGGTGGAACTGTAGATTTAACGTTCCTGAAGAGTTTAGTCTTATACTTACAAAAAGATGCAAGTAATAACTTAAAAATTATGTCCCGAAATCCCATAAGATGTGAATGTGCTGACTCACTTGAGTATTGTTTTTAACTGCATCGGTGAGTACAGAAAGTGGTCCAGTTTCAAATTCCTGTTTTTCTATCTCGTACAGTTCGTCCTCCGGAAGATTGGATTTCGGCACAGCACTCGACTTTGCCATTGCTGATTGATTTTCAAAACGCCCGGAACTAATGTCCAATCCTCAATACCATTTTACCAGCTAATGTAGACCTTTTAATATATGTGTAAAACTTGGGCACTGTGGTAGTAAGTAAAAGTAAGTAAGTATAGTAAGTAATCATAATTGATATGATTATGAAGAATAAATTTTGTTCGAAACGTCATCCAGTAAATAATTCTGTTTCACTAAGTGATACATCTAATAAACAAACTAATATGGAATAATGTAGACCTAATTGCTTTTATTGTACTCACTTCTTGTTTGTTAGGTAAAGGTTCCTGACCTTCGGTACGCTTCTGTTTACTCTGTCCCATCACCCGACTGCTGTAGCTTTGGGTGACTCCAGGTGGACCATTCCTGGAATTGGTTATATGAGATGTAAAAACAGTGTCTGTTCCGTGAATGGGGTTGATTTTTTCAACGCTTAGGCATCCAGTGTTGTCGGAGTGAGAGATGAAATAGTAATAATGGCGTATTGCCAGTGTAAATTACATATACATACAAAGAAAATCTTACAATGGGATAGAGAGTTAAATTTTATGATTAAGATTCAGATTTCAGATTCGGATTTACTGGTTGAGGATAGAAGGCTTGGAGTCTATGTTAATCGTTTTCTAGTAAACTTCTGCGGTTGTCCAAACCCTTCTTGAACCAATCAGCTGAGGTTGCAGACACCACTTCTTTAAGGAGTCGGTTCCAAAAGTTTATAACTCGATGTGAGAACCAGTACTCAACAGCAATATGATTTCTTCTTGGCTTTTAATCTCTCCTGCTATGTCCTCTAAGATGTTCCGACCTGGTGGGAAGGAAAAGAGAAAATAGATCAGGTCCGTAGTCATTATTTAAAATTTTAAACATTGTGATTAAATCTCCTCTCTGCCTACGGTATGACAGTGAGAAGGGATTTAAACTGTCTAGTCTTTCCTCGTATGATAAGTTAGTCATGCTGCGAACCATACGTGTCGCCTTCCTTTGAACCCTTTCTAGAATAAGTGAGTCCCCTTTTAGACAAGGACTGGCTGCCTGGATGCAGTTTTCCAGTCTTTACCTCACCAGAGATGTATATAAGGGGGTGAACATTTCTCTGGTGATTCTAGTGAAGGTTCTGCGAATTGCCAATAATCACCTGAAACTACATGCAGCCACTGCGCGACAGTTTGCTGTAGTTTTTAAGTCGTGGCTTACTATGAAACCTAAGTCCAAGTGAGTCTGAACTGATGGAGGTGTTATTCCCTCTAGTTCGTAGGAGCTCGTGCTTACTTGTCCAATGCGCATGGTTGCACATTTTGCCACACTGATCAGGAGTATCCATTCTATGGACCACTCTGACAATTTGTTGAGGTCCTCTTACAACGTGGACGTGTCACTGTTGCCCTTCAGCTCCCTTCAAATTTTTAAGTCATCTGCGTATAGGACCATAGGGGAGTCGGTGAACAGAGATAACTCATTGATATACAAAATAACTAGGAGAGGTATAAATACCGTGCCTTGTGGCACTCCGCTACGTACTGCTGTTCAAGGGGAGAGTTTCGAGTTAATCCTAACCCTCTGCCTCCTATCTATGAGGAATTCCCTGAGCCAGTTTGGTAGGCTGCCTTTGATACCAAGACTTTCCAGCTTCCTGAGTAGTCTTTTGTGAGGTACTTTATCAAAGGTCTTGCTGAAGTCTATGAAGACGACGTCAACGGGTCTTCTGTTGTCCCTTGATTTGACCCATCTTTCTCTCGCAGTGAGAAGATTTGACAGGCATGAGTTAAAGAATAAATAAAATAATGGAAAAGGTGCGATAAAATAAGTTAATGAGTAGGTAGAGTTGTCGGAGGAGTGAAAAATAGTGAATAGGCTACGGTAAATGATAAATTTATATGTTTACTTATTAATACTGCGGTGTGAGAGACACCATACTCATCCATTGTCAACTAAACGTCGAGGAAAACTATGTAAAGTGGTAAAAGGTACGTGGTTTAGGAGCGTCTAAGCCACAGTGTGTCCAGTCGTGAAGTTTCACACCCAGAGGAGTATTCTGTGCCATTTTCGGTTTCTAGTATTCTTACTGTGAAATATCTCTTGACTTCTACTCTGAATATCCTGCTAAATATGAATGAACAATGAACAAGGAGTGGACCAACAAAAGACTTGTACGGGAGAGCTCTGTATGCATTTCTCCGGACGTTCATGAGTAAGAAGCCAACGAGCTTGCATGACGTCGATACTTGTTTCGGGAAATATTCTGAAAATGATAGGGTATTTGAATATTTCATTTCTAGGTCTAGCATATATCTGAGTCTGTGAAGTGTATGGCCTTGAGTTACCATGCTAAGTTCCGGGTTTGGGGCAACCTGTGTAAAGACACCCACATTTCTCTAGGGTGATGTTAGAACTTATCACTAAGTTTGCCATCTTCATTGAACAACTTTTGCTAGTCTGTGGCAGAAAGTGTTGTTTCATAATCGCAACCAGACAAAACATTTCATGGCTTAACATGTAAAATTGCATCTCCATGGTTCCACGCTAATGCATACGGTTTGCATCAGAAACATTTCGTCCTTACTAATATCCCAGTGGCGCTTATTCAAACTTGTATGTTTTGTGGACATGACATATCATCGCCCTTCTTCAACATTAAACACAAGTCCCCAGGTATCACACCACCTGTCCGCTTTATCGACTTTTCACAGCAGTGTCAAGATCTGCGTCCTTGTATGTATGGATTACTTTTAAGTCGTCTGCAAACGGAAATGATTTGTCTTCACTGAAACCTTCACAGATAGTGTTTATACTTATTATGAAGAAGAAGAGCCCTGATACATTTCCCTGGAAGACACCACTACTTATTGGTTGGGACCTTTCTGATAGTCTAGCTAACATCTGAGGTCTGATTTCGGTGACACAGAAATAACTTTATACACTTCTGGGGAACGCAAATCCTAGGTGAGAATAACCTGCCATTCTGTCTGTCAGAGGCCTTCGTTATATCAAAAAGTAGAGGAGCTACTACTCTTTCATCTCTCTTATAGGTGACTTCTTTCTAAAAGTCTACACGGAAAGTGGCGCATGATGTTATTTTGAGGAATCCATGCTGCCATAAATTACATCCTAGTAAGTAGTCTAAAGTTCGATCTTTAGCTGCTTTCTGCGTGATTTCTGGTACAAATGGTTCTATAGTGATGGGCCTATACTAACGTTTACTAGTTCTGTAACAACAGAAGACAAGGGCCAGGCAACAGATCAGTTTTATTACGAAAACCAACAGGTATTTATATGTATTTTACGTACATTAATAAGGCTCTGCCCGGAGAAAGAAGGCGGTCTTCTGATTGGTTGTTTGCAAACAAACGCAGTCTTCTGCTTTCTGGTTTTCGATATTTCTCGGAAATGCGAGCCACTTGTCTGCGAATCATATTTGTCCACGTCTAGGTCAGCTGTGATCGGTTGTTGAATCAGCCTAGATTAATTTCCACCAATCAGCGTAGATCAATGTCTACCAATTGGCTAGCAGCTTGCTCTCACCACAGTTCCAGCATCTGTCCTACAATCAGGCATTACATATGGTTTTCGGTATTTCGGGGAAGGCTTCAGTCTTTGATGCGGGCGTAAATATTCTGAATAACAAGAATATTATATCCATGACAAATATTTGGATATGACAGATGGTATAGCGTCTGTTCCACAATTACCATTACCTCTTGATGTCTAAATTTATAAGGCGATATTATGCATATTAATGATGATGCTATAAAACTTAGAATTGTCCATATTACGTTTAGATAGACTGTCAGACAGAAGGATTGTCTACGGGAAGTCTCCTTGGTCCGATAAATTTTGGCATATTTCTAACACGTATAGAATTACAAATTAAATGATACAATGCAGCAGATGGAAGGTCTGTTGATAATACAATTATTATGTGACAGAGTGAAAATCAAGCAAACTATCTAATCTACTCAAGCATTTCAAGTTACTTCATCCAAATGTAAAATTCACATCTGAATATGAGGTGTTCAATGAAATAGGTAAAATATAAGCCTTAGAAGAGTTGACGATGACTGTATATCATTACGTCGGATTTATCATAAGCCTGCTTGTACAGGTCGATATTCTTTATCACTGAAGATCCTTTGCGTGCTTTGTACAAAGAAATTCTAGCGAAGAAACTGTTTTCACTTATGCCAATCATCTGTGGATCGTACCTGATCCGTACATTCACGTTCAGGTCCTTTGCTTCAATCTCTTTTTCTCTCCACAAGTACCTTTTGGGTTGTTGGCATACTCTTAAGTGGAGTGAGCATCTGCATACCAAAAAAAGACTAATTCATCACTACAATTCTGCAGATAGCGGTCACGCTATATCGTGAATTGGGAGAAGTTAGGATCCACTGGCCATTGGATCAGGTCCCAGGGTTCGAAACCATGTGGGTGCGTGCGGATGAGGAGTCCCAAACCAGGAAGAAACAACAGTCCAGTACTCCCAGGCCTTCCAATGGTTCTTCAACCAGTGTCAGCTCATTATGAAATCCTATACGTTTTTACTTCTGTATTTCGGGACAATTGTAACTCACCAAGTAACTGTATTTTATGTGTATATTAATTTATGTGGACTGAATTCCTCTCTACATATCCACATACATGTTTGTATTTGTTTTATCCTTTTTATTTCACGTATAAATGAGCTTAGCCGTTTAATCTAGTGAAAATGGCGTGAGGATTAAAGCTGTCGTGAGGTGTTTTCGCGCATACTAAAGCAACCACTACAACGATTATGAAAGAAAGTTGATAAAACACCTCTAAAGCACCCTGATCTAACATCTCTGCACGTAAAACAAAATCAAATAAGACCAAATACCTCAGGACATTCAAGTTGTAATTTATCACCTCTCTTCTACTTCCACAAGTATATTGAGATCGAAGCGCGGCAAATTTGCTTCGTTATCACGTTTGTACTCACTGGTAATAATGTGAATGAGTATATAAGCTGTCACAACAGCAATTCTACTCTCCTTTCGCTTCCTACTACTTCAAGTAATATAACGGAG